CTGTACAGTAATATTCGAAATCAGATTTACCTCTATTCTCTCTCTTACTCTCTCCCAGCGCCCCACCAGAAACCAACTATACCAGATTAGGCAGTCTTTCCGCCCGCCTCGCAACTACTGAAGTACCTTCGATGAGTCATAATATATTACGGAAAATTGCCACCGAGGACAGCGAGCAACAAACCCCGATTCACTTTTAACAAAAAAAAATTGAAAAATCTCATCACAGCCTGGATTGGTGGAATATGAATCAAAATCAATTCAATCCAATCATTCTGTCGCCTGAAGAGTTCAGGGAACGCGTTCATCGTCCAGCAAAAAGAGGAAAGACCAGCTGCCAACCGTGTCGGGGACGCAAGGTGAAATGTGATGGAACACAACCATGTGCAACATGCCAGAAGAGAGGTCATACGGACCTATGCTCCTATGGTGCTTCACTTCGTGAGTGGAGACCAGCAGAACAAAGTTACGAAACCACTAGAGAGGGAAGGACGACTCCATTCTTGGGGGATGACTCGATCCCTGCCTTCGTGGAATCTGAAAATCTTGAAAATAAAGATCAGTCAAATGGGGGTAGCTCTGTGAATGAATGCTTCCTACCTATGCTCGGACTCAGATCTGCAGTGGCTTCTCCATACCCTTTCATGCCTCCATTGTCATCCAATCCCTGGGAAGAATTGACTAATGACCGGGATAGTGTAAAGTAAGTTCGCAGGTTTCGATTCTATGTCTAGGATGTGTTAGGGATAAACAAATAGAGAAGCACGGTGGCAGATACTGATCTTTATTCGCTAGATTCTTCCAATGCTATCGACAACAGGCGCATCCATACATGCCGGACGTTCTTGGAATTGATGAGTTCGAGCGCGAGCTGTGTACTTTTCTTGAGGAGCCAACGAGAGACATGCAAAGTGGTTTCAGGACGGGAAAGCCCTTTGATTGGCTTGGTCTCCTATTCGCGATTTTGGCCTTTGGTGTGCAGGTCTCCGATCTTAGCTACAAGGAGCGCATCCGGCTCTCGCAAGCTTTCAGTAAGCCCCACAGGATCCGGATGAATGGTTTCCGTCCTACCATTGCTCACCCGTGAATAGCCGAGTATTCATTTCAATTTCTTCGCCAGGCCAATTTCCTACTTAAGCCAACAAGAACTTGTGTCCAAACATTCTTGATACTTGGAAACGTATTACGGAATGATTGCAAACCAGAAGCGGCTTGGATATTACTAGGAACAACCGTAAGGTTGGCCCAGAGTATTGGACTCCATAGAGAAAATTGTGACGAGCACACGACGCCCCCTTCTCATAACATGAAACGGAATCTCTGGTAGGCGCCGGAAAATCCCAGACGGGATGTTACCTCTTACACCTTTCCCAGGTTATCCGTTATATGGCAAGATACCATCCTTTCACTATGTTTCGACCGACCACCTGCTACCCTCCCAGCTCTACTGGTTGCACCGGAAGATAAGGTTTTATCCTACAAAGAAGCGATGTATCACCTCAACTATTGTGCTAGCCATGGTCTCTCACTGTCGAAGACACAGGAATTCCCACAGATTGCTAGAAATATCGAAGAGATAGAAAAGATATTTGCTAGGTCCTGCCCCGAGCTGCAAGACACAAATCGTTGTTCTAGTATTCAAGAGCACTGCCACTATTATGCACTTAGATTACATGTCTCATTTGCGATATCTTGGCTCTGTCGTCCGGCACTCTCATCACGCACACGGTCTTGGCCGGATACCGAAGTTCGGGATTCGCTTGCTAAAAAGTGTAAGCAGAATCTCAAAGAAAGTCTGCGTGCTTTCATAAAACTTCAATCTTTGAGTGTATACGCTTCGAGGTCTTGGGGGTTTTTCCATAATGGCATTAGTTCAGCTCTTTTGTTGGCTCTTATGGATGATACAAATCATGACCCCGAAGTGCGGAGGTTACAAGGTAGTCTGATCAATGTCCTTTCGACCGGTATCCCTGGAAAAGGCGGAGATTCCGAATCCAGCAACCTTGTCTTATCTAGGATGCATATAAGGGCGCTCAGCACTCTTAAAAGCCTCTATGGGCGACGGAGTACCCCTAGCAAGGAGAACGAACCAAATGAGGGCAGCACATCGAGGCCGAAGGTATCGCACAATGTTCGACAGAAGAACGCAGATATGGGCTACATTCATCCTCTTCCCAGCCCTCTCCCCACAACCTCAGAGTGAGTCTTCCCTGACGTGTAATACTCTTGCTTTATTAATTCTACTTCTATCCTCGCGCATTTTTAAGTCATTTACTTATAAGTACCGCCTGCAGAGATACTGCCGACAACAATACTATAGTATCAGACAATATTTTTACCGGCCTGCTTGACGAAATGTCTCCATTTGATCTTTATGATTCCATACTCTGGAGTAGGTAGTATCTGGCTCGCCCGATATTCCATGCAGTCTTTTACTTACCATGGGTCGTTGCCAGATTCCCCGCCCCTACCGGAAGACTTTGAGGAAGCTTTTTGTGTTTTACCAGAGCTTTGACGGTTTACACTCGGTCTTCAAATCTTCGACAATCCAAATTTGTTCCGTTGCTCCTCACTCGTATTATAAATCTACCTCATGAATCGCTCTAAGGAGGCTACATATTAAAAAGTACTCTGTTTCCCTGATCTCCAACATGATTAACACCCTAAGCAGAGTAGATATTATAATTCAGACTACAAATACGGAGTCATCATTTGCTTTTCGTTTCTCCCGTTTTACTAACTTTATCTTTGTTCTTTCTTTCTTTTTTCTTCTTTTGGTAAAATGATCTAACACCCTTCCTTCTATCATTTTCTTCATAAGGAAACAATGGACTAATGAAACACATTTGATATGAGACTTTCACTACCTAGTGTAGCTGAGAAAGACTAACCTGAATACGGTAACCGAGCAATTCCGAGCTTGTTCGGAAGCCTAGTTTGGTTAGACTTTCCTGGGCAGGGACTGAAACGGCTAATCCTCCGTTTATTTTTTATTTTTCATATATTTTTTTTTGGGTAAAATGATCTAACAACCTCCATCACTTTCCTCAAAAAGAAAGATGAACTAATCAAACACATTTGATATGAGACTTTCACTACCTATTACTGTTCAGTGTAGTGGATGAAGACTAACCTGAATATGGTAACCGAGAAATTCCGAGCTTGTTCGGAATTCTGGTTTTGTTACTCTCCGAGGCGAGGACTGAATCGCCAATCCTCCGCTTTTGGATTGAATTAATACAACATATAAACTATTCTCTCCCCTCTTGTTTTCGGGCTTTTATTTTCTGGCCTCTTTCAAAACGAACGAAGCGAAACGATACGGACATCTCGAATCACTTCCCGTGAAGGCCTGCATGAAACTGCCAATTTACCCTGATATCTAGATCCAGGTCAGCATATGTACGTGACCTGGAATTTTTCAGGAATACACATTAAATGATGGAGCAAGACCTCGGGAATTCAAGGAGGATTGCGGAGGAGTCCGCGGATCCGACCAGCCAACAACAACACGAAGACAATACGATATATCCTCATTTCAAGGGCGACGAGAACGGAATCGGTTCCATTGATGTCAATCAAGAAAACGAGACAGGACCCGAAAGTGATGGTCTCACCAGACAATCAACCCCTACAACCGTCCTAGCCCGAACTCTCTTCTTCATCTGCATGAGAGAATCAGGACGAGACCCCGGCCCCCCTCCCGACGGCGGCTTCAAGGCCTGGTCCCAAGTCGCGCTGGCCCATCTTGTCATGTGCAACACATGGGGGTACATCAACAGCTTTGGCGTCTTTCAGACGTACTATACCGAAACCCTGCACCGCCCGCCCTCGGATATCTCCTGGATCGGTAGCGTCCAGACCTTTCTGCTCTTTTTCATCGGAACCTTTTCTGGAAGAGCGACCGATGCTGGGCTTTTCAAGCTCACTTGGGTGATTGGCGCAACGGCTGAAGTTGTTAGTATCTTTTTGACTTCACTCTGCACCCAATACTGGCAGTTGTTCCTCACGCAGGGAGTCCTCCAAGGCATCGGATGCGGTCTCATGTTCTGTCCCACCATGTCTCTGGTACCAACATACTTCACCAAACGACGAGCCCTCGCCATGGGGATTGTAGCGACTGGTTCGGCTACAGGAGGACTGGTCCTCCCTGGAATCGTGAACGCTCTTCTACCACGGGTAGGATTTGCCTGGACGATGCGCACTCTCGGGTTCATCACCCTGGGTTCTCTTCTTCCGAGCCTGCTTTTCCTCCAACAGCGGCTTCCGCCGCGAAAGAGTGGTCCGATCGTCGAATGGGTGGCGTTCAAGGAGGCGCCCTATTCGCTCTTTGCCATCGGCATGTTCTTCGTCTTCTTGGGTCTGTATATTGGTTTCTTCTACATCGGGAGTTATGCGACAAATACTCTTCACGCGTCGGAGTCAACTTCCATAAACCTGGTCATGGTCATGAATGCCGTCGGCATTGTCTCTCGTATTATCCCCTGCTTTTGTGTGGACATGTGGACGGGCCCGATGAATCTGCTTGTCCCGTTCAGCCTTCTCAGTGCAATTATCGCCTATGCCTGGGCCGGAGTCGACAGCGTCGGGGGACTGTACGCATTCTCGGTAGTTTATGGTGCTGTCACGGCCGCAGTGCAAGGCATCTTCTCCGTCACGCTGACCACACTGACAGCCGACCTCAAAAAGACCGGCGTCAGGTATGGGATGGTTCTGAGCATTCTCAGCATTGATGTCTTGACAGGGAACCCGATTGCAGGGGCATTGATACAGATAGATGACGGTGAATATCTATACATGCAGATGTTCATGGGTAGCTCCATGCTAGTGGGGACCTTAGCTCTGGCTGGCGCAAGAATTGCCAAGTCGGGCGTCGCATGGGTTCGAACATAACCATGGTTTCGGTATATATTTTTGATTGAGCATACACCAGAGAAGAGTCTTCATAGAGCGAGTTTATAATCTCAGTGCGTTGAAATGTACGACTGGACTAGCTAAATTGCTGGGTTCAACCATTCGATTGAACGAGATTGCTTAAGTCTGGACCCCCAGTATCAAGTACTCCTCCACCCATTTATAGTGATAAGACACATTTACCGACGGCTCAGTGGTGTCCACAATCGTTAATAATGATGAAAGGTTCACCGCTACCCTAGCTGACACTTGCGCATGAATTCTGAATGTGATATGCCTGAGGCGTAAATGCTGATATCACAACACGTGATTTTGAGTTGATCTGGGGGATGTGAAAGACCAGGATTATTACCATAATATATTATGACTCATCGAAGGTACATCAGTAGTTGCAAGGCGGGCGGAAAGACTGCCTAATATGGTATAGTGGGTTTCTGGGTGGGGCGCTGGGAGAGAGTAAGAGAGAGTATAGAGGTAAATCTGATTTCGAACATTACTGTACCTGCGACTGTCTAAATTCGCGCATTGTGTTTGATTGGTCCGTCGTGTGCTATTTGTATCCAGAGTCTCACCAATGTGATAGTAGCGTTGCAATCTTGCGAGGGGGTGGCGATCACGAGAACCTAGCTCGTGAGTCTTGGTTGCAACAGTTCACATGGTTGTCCTAGAAAATAGGCTCGGTTTTATGGAAAGCTTTCCAATAAGCTCTGGACTTTTGTCATGCCGTCCCAAAGAAAGACAATCCTCATCCTGAACTTGAGAGTATGTCAGTGTCTGTGCTGACAGGAAATAGAGATTCTAGTATAGGCAACATTAGCTGGCTGCGAGTAGACAGGAAAGAAACAACATTCAGCGGCGCGGGGCTAGCGATGGACGGAATTGATTCTAGCGAGACCAAAGGGTCCTCCAGCCAACCGCAGGTACAGTTCAGCGTTTTTGTCGGCCACAGTCTTCAATTTATTATTTCGGCATCTGTTGAAGCACTTCAACCTTCATGAAAGGGACGGTGACCGTGGCCAAAACAGGCAGATGTAGAGTGTCACCGCGTTGAGCGATTTAAGTGCAAACTCAACAATATGTAGGAATCACATTTCTGCGGCGTTGCTTTCTCTCAACAGTTGATGAAAGTGGTTCACCACACTCAACGCAGAATCTTGAGAGGAATGATTCCAGGTTGAGACTTGACTGTAGGCCACAAAGTCTCCAGACACCGTTTCAACGTCGTTCAACTTGCTTCAACGCCAACCAAAGGACTGTGATTCTCGCTACCCTCGACGCAATGGTTCCTTGGCAGAGTCTTGACCGAAAAATTATAAAAGGGGGCGAATTCCCAGCCCAAAATTCTCAGGACTTCCATCGTCACACTTTGGTCCTCACACTTTGATGCATCATAGTGTCCCTCTCTTGCCTGCGGGCTTGAGAGCTTCCGTGACCACGGCTGTCGCTGCCACGAGCCCAGCGATGTAAGACTGTGCTCCCTCGCTGCCATGAGCCCCGCGAGTGTAGAAAGGTGCTTCGCAGGATAGGTCTGCGTGAACAACAATCCTCGCAGGGGGGGGGCTGCGAAAACAAGACTACCCTGCAGGATAGGTCTGCGTCAACAACAATCCTCGCAGGGAGGTGCTGCGAAAACAAGACTACCTCGCAGGAAAGGTCTGCGTCAACAACAATCCTCGCAGGGAGGTGCTGCGTCAACAAGACTACCTCGCAGGATAGGTCTGCGTCAACAACAATCCTCGCAGGGAGGTGCTGCGAAAACAAGACTACCTCGCAGGATAGGTCTGCGTCAACAACAATCCTCGCAGGGAGGTGCTGCGTCAACAAGACTACCTCGCAGGATAGGTCTGCGTCAACAAGACTACCCCGCAGGATGGGCTCTGCGTTATCAAGTGTGCCTCGCAGGATGGGCTCTGCGAAACCAAGGACTCCAGACCCTCCGTGACCACGGCTGTCGCTGCCACGAGCCCAGCGATGTAAGACTTGCGCTTCCTCACAGCCAATGAGCCCTGTGTATGTAAAAATGTGCTTCCTCACAGCCAATGAGCCCTGTGACTGTAAAAATGTGCTCCCTCACAGCCAATGAGCCCTGTGACTGTAAAAATGTGCCCCCTCACAGCCAATGAGCCCTGTGATTGTAAAAATTCGCTCAGTCATGCAAGACTTGGCTCGTCAAGGACTTGTTATGGCTCCCCAGCTATGTGCAGGCACCTCTCCGTGGTGCTGGGGACCAGTATTCGAGTATTCCAAGAGTATTCGATGAAGCAAAGA